GATGTGTTTATCGCACATGTTCATATTGCGATGACAATGAAAATACGATTAATCGGTCAGCACTACTAATCATTGCACAATGCGCCTGCATATTTGCACGCTGTCCCAAAAGGAGGCCCAGTGTGCATCTGCAGACAGCCAGAGCACATGAAAAAGCAAATCACTGGTGGTGAGATGAGATCACTGCTGGGGAAGCTGTAGAGTGCTTAATTTGCATATTGAAAAACAAACTCAAACATTGAAAAGATGTCCAATTTTCTCTTCACTAAAAGCAGTGGACAGGTGAAAGAAGACCTCACCCTATTACAAATGGACTTAAAAACCCACTAACGTCTCTTTTCAGACCCTGATGGAAATCCCTCCGACCCCCCCCCCCCCCCCCCCCCCACACACACACACAAAAAGGAAGAAAATTGAAAAGACCAAACCCGTCCTGTACTTTGAGGATTGTGAATAGAGTGCCCCGCAGCCTGCCTGCCCCATATACGGTGGCTGAATACAAAAGACCCCCCTCTGTAAGAGCAATCACTACGGGAGACCACTCTATCTGCACCGCTGCAGCGACATGTCTCAATGAAGCCGTCAGCACGGGCTCTGCTGTCACACGCTCTCACACATGTGCACACACTCACAGAAACAAAGACAGACACCTTGCATGTGGCTATTTATTCCTTTAGCCCTTACAGGCACAAACATGCACGCACGCACATGCACGCACGCACACACACACACCAGTACTTTCCAACCCTCATGGCTAATGCATTCTTTTCAGCCTCCAGTGCCGGACAGGAACAGGGAGGGAGATGAGTGGTTGGCGCTGATTTGAATATTTTAATTATTTATCACCAGAGAGTATTGAGCTCTGAGCCCACACCAAGGGACACAAGGGAGTTGGGTGAGAGTGAATCTAGCCACGTTTGGATTAGATTCTGAGCTGTTATTGCCCGAGGGGACAGGAAAGTACAAAAACACGGACACAGTTGCAGATTTTGGTGGACATGGTACTTAATTCTATTTCGGTAATGAATCAGCATCTTTTATGTGCTTTTTGAGGCTAATCACAAAGCCATGTGTAGTAATGTGAGGTTGCCGTGGTCTATCTACACTCGCAGGACATGATATGGTCATATAAATACAGCATTAATAAAACGTTCAATGTCTATTATCATTACATTTCAATATATGTTTATTGTTCTTATATTCCCTAGTCCTCCCACCATCATATCATACCTTGGAACGTGCTGGGACCGTAAAACATTTTATAAATGATGGCTCACTGTGGAACTACAGTAAAAAAGAAAGTAAACTGAATGATGTAATACATTGGGGTCCTTCCATATCGGACAAGGGAGAGTTCCACTTTGGCTTGTTGCAGCCCAGAGCCTGAGAAACACACACTTGCCTTTCCCTGGCGGAGAACAATCCAGGGAAATGGAAATGAATTTGCTCACGCAGTGACAGATCTGTAGGCTTGAAGGAAAAAACATATGCATTAACACATTGAGCAGTTTGTCGCTTTGTCACCTGATCTATCATTTGATGTTCTTTTTTATTGTTTGGGCTTTCTTTTTCCCATTGTCAATCTTTCCCTTTTAACCTGCTATCATGCTGGGTACAGGCTGGCCGCTCGATCACCCTCTTTCTCTCCCTCCCTCCTGCTTCTTTATGCGCTCAGCACTGAGTTACAATCTCTGGACAAAGGAAGTCCTCGACTGGCCCCCCGTCGCTGTCCTTTTCCCTCTCTGGCGCGCCATGCACATGCATAGTAACAGCACTAATCGTAATCAAGCCCCCGAGAAAAAGGATCGCCATTAGCCCAGTGTGATCAGATCTTGGAAACACAAAGTTTATGACATTCATTCTCACATAACACAAGTTTTAATGTAGCCACATGCAAATACAGTACAAGGAGGACAAGACCACGAGTTATTACTCTGCTTGGTGTCCTTCCCCCTGCTTGTAATTGGCATGTCAACACACACAGTGGGTAGATCTTTCTTATCTTTTGATGTTATGCATACTGTAAGTGAAAGCCATCACTTCTGTGGTACGAAGGTCATGGGCATAGTTTGCTTGTATCATGCATGTCTTTCATAAGTAATCATTTTTACATTTACTATAAGGTGAATTAAAATAAGATTTTTTTTTTTACTCCCATACTTGTCAGTTTGTAGGTATTCTGTACGTGACATTGTCTACAGTCAACTGTTGTTTTAAAGCCTCTTTGGAAAAGCTATTACCTGATATTTAGTGACACTGCATCAACTTGCTATTCTATCATCATTAACTATTCTTCATTCAGTTTGTAACAGCTGTTTGAATAAAATTAATTGTAGCATTCAAAATGAACCCCAGGTATTGACACAGTGATTATGTTATGAAGCAGAAATAAGTAGCCATCAAACACTCACAGCAGATTTTCTACTGTGTGGGTCTACCGAGTTTTCCGTCTCCTTTTTGTTCATTCATGACATCTATCTCAAACATCTGTCACAACAGCAAATACAAACAACAGGATGACTCGAGTTATCCTAATCTTCATTGTTCTTCAGATGTGGTGGAAATGCAAACAGGGAACCACAAAAGTGACTTTTAAGTAGTTTAGTTCCTAGTAGAGTTGACTAATGGTTGACCAATATGGGTTTTTTAATGGCCAGTGCCAATATTTAGAGAGCAGTGCGGCTGATGGCCGGTATGTAATGCAGATATCAAAACAAAGATAAGACATGTGTAATTCAATTATTCCATGCACAGTACAATCTAAAATATGTGGTTATCTTAGCCAGTAACATGTTGTTTTGATGGAATTTGTAGTAATTAATGAAATAGAAAAATGCTTTGGGTTATGATTTCACATGACTGGTGATTAAGGAAGAGTGAGGTACAGTTTGTCAGAAGTGATGTCATTCAACTGCATTACAGTATAACACTATTTCACGCTAGCCACTTTTGTGAGTGCAGGTATCAGCCGTTGCAGATCATCTCAAAATGCCAGATACCAGCCCTATTAATCGGCCGGTCTGTCACTAGAGTACAGTGGTCCCTGTTCAGTTTGTTTGAATAAGTTTCAAATTGTATGAAAGTGTTAAGAAAAAATGCATGCTTTATTAATTGCAGCATTAAAAGTGAACTAGTAGAAGCCCAGATATTTACAATAAATGGGAAATACTGGTTTTACCCTTGTGACCAGTTCCCTTTTGCTTTGTTTGTGTTTGTTAGTAATATATTTATTATTTAATATGTTTTTTTTTAAAATGTCTTGTGGGGGATTCTCCCTCTCAGCTCTGTTGTTGTAGCTGCCATTCATCACTCTTAATTCCTGTGGTGAACCTCATTTGTTGCAGTCTGTGAGTGTACACGAACATGTCCCCAGTAACGATCAGCTAATTATGAGAATCCACAGCAGCCTCGGGGGTGTGAAACCACCTGCCTGTGTGTGTGCACCGGTACCTGTGACATATGTACATGCTGTGCGTTTGTGTGAGAATGAGAGAGTGAGAGCAACAATGCACACATCTGTATATTCAATCACACACTCTGTGGCCTGTTTATTGCATTTTGGTGTTCTCATTGCATTTGTGTATTAAATTTCACTTCTGGCTGGATTATCCGCAATGTGAAAAACATACTATTCCATATGAGGCCATGCTGTACCTGCAGGGGGTTGAATTTTTTCTTTCTTTTTTATAACCGTTCAAAAAAAAAAATCACGCTATATGTTAAAATACTACAAAAGCCCTAAACGGCCATCGATTAAATTTTTTTTTTTACTCCGTTTTCCCATGATAACGGGATAATTATCTCATGATCTCAAGATAACGACTATTATTTTCTCGTGATAACGGGATAGTTTTGTCGAGATGACGAATCATAGCTGAATACAGGGGTCGGCCGGTGCGTTTCTTTATGACAATTTCGTGGCAATTTGCTGAGTCAGTAGTTAGTTCAGTTGGTAGAACACAGGACTTGCATCCCAAGGGTTGCACGTTTGACCTTTACTCTCTGCAAAGTTTTATATTCTTCTTTGTGTTTTTTAATCATTCTCTTCAACAAAGTTGTTATGAATAGAATTAAAAAGATTTTTTTTTTATTAGTCTTCCATGAGGATCAAACTCACAATCTTAAAACTATGAGTCCTGTGCCTTACCAACTCAGCTAATCAATGACACTGAAAGTTCCTTGAAATTACCATAAAGAAACGTTCTTGCCAACCCCTGTGTTAAATTATTGTTTAGTTACCTCGAGAACGCGAGAAAACAACAGTCGTTATGTCGAGATCACAAATGATCCCATTATCACGGGAAAACGGAGTAAAATAAAGATATGAATCGATGGCTGCTTAGGGCTTCCGTACAATACTTAGTTTCATATTGTTTTTTTTTTCATAAAGCTGCTATCTATTTTTTATATTAATTGTGAAATATAATATAATATTTTTTAGATAAATAAGTGAAATAGGTTGCTCATAGTGATGTAAATAAATTCACTCAAGCTTTACAGTGAGTTTCAGCTCATTTTGGTTTCATGGTCCCACACATTTACTGTTTTGGTTCATTCTCACGGCTCTCTTTGACGTTGTTTTTCATCCGTAGCATGCAGAAACACAACTTCAAATTAATTCTAATGATTTTTTGCGTCTGCCGGATGTGTAAATAGGCAATTGTTTGCTTACGATTTCATTATACTTATTTTAAAGACAATAAGATGGTCGTGTTGTGTTCACAGCTTGCTCCCACCAGTTGCAAAAAAAAATATTCAATAGGTAATTGCAAATGTATAAAATTTATTGAACTAAATTTGTAATTAGTATTACAAAATAACAGTTTGTCAACACGACATAGTATATAACAAGAAAAACTAATGAAAATGCTATATTTAAAACAACACACCACAGAATCTGTTGAAATTTAAATTAAAAAAAAAATGTTCATGTATAATAGTGGAAACTTTATTTGATGAACTTTAAGGTTAAGAATAACTTGTTCTTCTGCTCCTTTTAGCCGAGCCATCAAGACCAACCAGGACCTTCTTCCTGAGACTCCGTGGACCAACATCCTGTACGATGACTTCTGGGGCACCCTGCTCACTCACAGCGGCAGCCACAAGTCCTTCCGTCCGCTCTGCACCCTCTCCTTCCGCCTCAACTACACCTTGCATGGCCTGTGTCCCTGGGGCTACCACCTGCTGAACGTGTTGCTGCACGCGCTGGTCACTGCCCTCTTCACAGCCTTTAGTCGCCCGCTTCTCGGTGGAGGACTGTGGAGCCTGCTGGCTGGCCTTATCTTTGCCTCTCATCCGGTGCACACTGAAGCAGTCGCCGGTGTGGTCGGGAGAGCGGACGTTGGCGCAGCGTTGTTTTTTTTGCTGTCTCTCCTCTGCTATATGAGACACTGTGGACTTCGTAGGGACCCACGTGGGACTTTTCAGACCAGGCAATGTGGCAGCAGCTCATTCGCCTTGTGCTGGGGCTGGATGCTGGGCAGCCTGTGGTGTGCAGCAGCCAGTATGCTGTGGAAGGAGCAGGGGGTGACGGTGCTGGCCGTGTCGGCTGTGTACGACCTCTTCGTGTTCCAGAGACTCCGGTTTCGCCAGGCACTTCTCCTCTTGCTAGGAAAGGTAAATGAATGCATGCCACCGGGGCCGGTGTGTTCACTGACTCTTGCCTTGGCATCTGTACATATCCAGTTTCCTTTTCCTTCCCTCAGAGGCAAACCTCACCCAGCCAGCTGTTAATGGTTCCTGTACGGTGGAATAAGTTTTGAGTGTGTACTTAACGTCGTCGTTTGTTGACATTGTGTGTGTCGCACAGTGTTTGCTTTTCATTAGGAGTGTAATTAGGAGAACTGTTTGCCAGTGCACAGTTGGTACATGAATTCCCATTTGTCTTCTGCTAAACAGGAAGAAACTATATGCAGAGGGGAACTTTTCCGCTTCCCCGCCACTTTAAGTTTGCCGCAGTAAACAGCTTCACATTAATGCAAGGAAATTTAGATTAGCATTGCACAGGAAAACCTATTTTCGGGGTGAGTTGTTTTTACAATTTAAGGTGACAAAAGGTATGCGGAGGAAAAACAATAACACATCCTACTCCGACCAAATGATTTGGTCCACTTGTCAAGTAAGCTGTCCAAACATACACAAATGCACACAAACACACACACACACTTCCTCTGCAGGACTCCATCCACCCCACCCCCACCCCCCCAAAACTGAAGTTGTCTGAGGAGGACAACCTTGGTGTACTGACTCATCTGATTATGGGAATCAGTGTTTGACTGGAAAACCTTCTCTCATAGGCGCATCATAACATTTGATTAGAGGAACTGCTCCTTAGCCAACACAACTGTCCTCGTAAAATGCATAAGTAGTGTAATAAAAAGTCCCCTTGGGTTTACTGAGCAAGGACAGTCTGGCTCTCAATGGCGTGTGTGCACATGGGAATCTTTTTATAGCGGTTTCTTCTTGAGGAAACATCTAGGGCACTGTTTGTTGCAAGGTTTGATGTACCATTGTAGAGTACATCACAAATACTCTATGGAACTGTCTGATGTATACAAACTCCAGCCCATGTGCATGACTGTCTTATTTTCACAGCCAGCATCCAAATGAAAACATACTCTACCGACAAGTGTGTAAGGCTTTACCGTACCTGTGGGGCAGATTCTCCGGTAGTCGATCCTGGCAAGATGATAAGCCCCACTTGTTATTAGAGGGATTGTGGTGAGCGGCCAAGGGAGATCAGAGAGGGGAGAAAGAGGGAGTTTTAGTTTTTTTTCCCTCTCAGCGTTTGGTAGGAGTGTCTCACAAGTCACGAGTGTGTGCCTTCACGACTGCTAGACCTTAGCAGATGCAAAGCAACACCTGTCTTTGAAATTGCACTAAGTCGTTTATTAAAGCTGCTAAGTCATGTTAAAGATGATGAAGATGCAATACAACACCACAAACTATCACATAATCTCCTAAAATACAGTTTTTGCCTTCTATTTACTATAGGTAGATTTAAGGGTCATTTCACACACTGTGAGGATCATACATTCTGTATCGGCTTGTTCCACATTTTCTTTGAAGGTTTCATTCTACTAAAAGGAAATATGAAAATGATCAATTATGTATGAGTAATGCTGAAAACCTTGTAGTAAGTAGTTAGCTATTAGTAAAGCCTGCTTTGACGTTGAAATTATCTTATCTCTAAACAAAGTCTAGAAAAAGTAATTTTTTTTGCTGGTAATGTGGGTTATTACAGTTTGGGACGCTTACAGATTGCCCAAGCCTGTGGTGAACTTTGTATCGGCTTTATGAACAATGTAGTGGACTTTAAAATTGTCACAGCAGCACAGGGGAATGTAGTAAAAAAAAGTTAAATACAATAAAAGGAACAATCAAAAGAGAAAAGTTTGCTCTTCTTTTTTGGTCCTTGGCTATTCCTGACTGAACCCTCATTTGTGCCAGCATTATATAAGTGGAAATCACTGATTGTAAGGCAGATTCTGTCAATTTCGAGTTAAATTGAGATTTATAGATCACAGGTTCCGAATAGGCTTCTTAGAACCTGTGTATGCAAGGTTTTTAAATGCTCAGAAATTACGTTAAGCAGGGGTGTTGTTAGGATCTTGAAACATTGGGGGGCTTAGCCCAGCCCAGAAATCCACACATTTTCACCTGATAATTGCATCCATTTGTGCATTCTGATGATTATTTTTGTTGCACCAATTTCTGCCTTTTCTGGAATATGGTATTTATGGTAGAAATGTCTTTATTTGTGTAAAGGGAAACACAATTCAGGTGGCAGATGACAATTAAAAATGTGAAAAATACAGTTGAATATAATGCAGTAAGGCTCTCAGGCATTCTGGGTTGCACTGAAGTATGTATTCTCCTGTAGATAAACTTTTCTCATTTAATATTATCTCTGCCGAGTCAAACCACATGTAGACATGAACGATAGGAGTAACCTCTTTAAATGTTACACATCAATAAATTAGTTCATCTTGATTCATTTGGAAACCCCTGGGCTTAAATAGCTCGAGCTGTTTCAGCTCGTTTTCTACTCGTGTTCAGAACTTTCTGCACATTCAGAATCTATCCCACACATCTGAGTTCTCTGACGTTTTGTGAATAAAGTCATATTTTGGGGGAAAAGTTGTCTACCTGCCTTATACTCTGCTGTGCATTAGCCTATGTTATTGCTCTGCTGGTATGGTAGTTTCCCCTAAGACCGTCTGACAGACGCAAAACTGTGCTTGGGACTGTACTGGATAAGACAACCGTGCTGCTCTTCATTGGAGGTGGAAAATCAAACCAACTAAAACACTAATGATTAGTCTCACCAAAAAATCCACACAAATATTAACAGTTTGTGTGGCAAATACATTGACTAGACACTAAGGGACAACAGCGGTGATATTAAAATTTATTTATCATAATTATTGCTATGGGCAATTTAGTTATCGCTGTAAGTCCTGAAGCTGTAACCATTGCTCACTCTCTCTCTCTCTTTGTGCAGAGTAACGTTCGATCTGCTGCTTGGATAGAGGACCCAACAATATCATATTATTCTCAAGGGCTTTGATGCATGATAGATAAGTAGGCTATAGGCTATTTTTTATAATTTAAAAAAATCTTTTTGAAATCTGGGTCTTTACTATAAATATTCCCAAGCCTTACGATGCCTATGATCTTAAGTTAATAAATCTAAGAACATTTTTATAAATGAGGCCCCAGATCTCAACTGTGCAACTAAAGATCTTTTGCTTCCAGATAAGCGAAATGTAAAATATGATTCGGGGCCTAACTGTTTGTAAATGACATATTTATCTTTGGAAACCTTGAATTCTTGCCCACAATTAAAATAAAGTTCTGTGGGTTGGCTGCACAGCATTAGTCTGTACTAACTGACCCCAGGTGAGTCCGGGGGGTTACATTTGTTAAATCACCTACCTCTCACTGTCTCAACTTGAAAGGATGAAAAATGAAATGTTGAAAATAAACATTTGAAACCTTTGTTCGTCTGCCCCTGTATAAAGACAGCAGAGACAGAGCCTTGGAAATGAAACCACAACCTAAAATCGAGCACTGCTTCCAGCCTGTTGCATTATGGTCTGAAAGATTTCATCACCCCATGTTCTTGTTAGAAGTTATGAAAAATCACATATTCCCTGTGTATTTATCACAATCGCGAGCAGGGATATCATCAGCAGGCCTCCACCTCTCTGCCCCAGACACAATAACCCTGGCCAACATCCCTGTGCCAGCCTGTCAGGCCCTGGTGCCAGCCCCACAGCGCTACCCGCCACCGCCAGCACATCTGGCTCGTTTATCACTCTGGCAATGCCCTCCTCTACTGCCCCAGTCACGGTTATCTTGGCAGGGAGCTCGTTATGCGCAGGGGCCAGCAACGGGGGCAATCGCTTTCTCGATTATGAGCCAGACGTCTCAGGGACGCATGGGAACAGAAGAGGGAGAAGGATATACAGAGAGAATGAGCGAGGGAGTGGGAAACTATGCCCTCACTTCCTTTCCTTTATCTGTTATTGGTCTTTCTCACCTCCTATACCCTAAAAGAACTTTGAGAATGGACGACTTGGCTTCTGCTACTGAGGCACAGTCAGTGGCCATTGAACTGGATGGTAGTCGGAGAGGAGAACAATGCAGTGATGTTTTCCATTCAAATGAAAATTTTCCATTTCATCCACAATGAAGCAAAAGATTGATAAATCCTGCACGTCACATTACCTGACTGCTGCATCACAGCAGCCACAAACAATAAGGAAATGCAAATAAGGTGCAGCGGGGCTGAGGAGACGGATGTGCTTCGGCCAGCGCTCCATTTCTCATCCTATTAACTCCCTAATCAGACTGAGATGAGATTTCAAAGGAGACAAGGTAAGACGGAGGGAGAGTTAGAAAGTGATAGATGGAGACAAAGGAAGGTGTGGTGTTTGCACTGCAGCCTACCAAGAAGGCAGAATGAGTCTTATGTGCCAGGATCATAAGAACACAATGTCTTCCCACTCTCAGTTTGGCTGTCAATGGCTAAAACAACATGTTCCAGGCTTTAGACAGGGCCATGGGAAATAATTAGCTTTTGGTGTTAGGTAGTAGGAAAAAAATCAGACATCTCTCTACAAGATTGATTTAATTAAAGATGTTTAACTGCTGAGCAACGATTTCAAGCATTTATTGACTAAATAACAAAGACATCAGTGATGTACCTTTCAGATAAAGTCCTGCAGTAAAGTCTCTAAATAAAAAGGTGTGAAATTTAAACATACATATTCCATTGGATTTTCTTACTGAAACTTAAATCTGTGCACCTGAGATATGAGAGATAGCATTTTACTTGAGGCACGTGGACAATAGAGGGATTTGATTGTGTTCTTGCAATTAAAGTGTTACAGACTCCTCCTCATCATTTGTGTCAATGACCGCTGCAGGCACGCAGGTTAAGTTCAGTGTAACCATCTTGACGGCTTGAAGAATGTTGCGCCAATTATCCTGTAGCAGAAGCATTCGGCTGTGAAATGAAACCCTCTGTTGCAAGTTCTGCTGCATGCTCTTTATTTAGCTTCCATTCGTGGGTGAACTGGATTGCCGGAAGAAGTGCATGTTCAGACTTT